TCACCATGAGATACCAAACATTTTTGGAACATTGTATACAAAACTGTACAAAAATCAAGCCTTGATTTTTGTACAGTTTTGCATGTGAAGCATTACCATTGAACTAAGTAAGGCCGATCTCCAAATAAATATGTGCTCTGTAGTTGTATAGTGGTTAAGAGCCGGTATAGTGGTCTAGAGAGCTGGGTTTGATTCCCCACTTTTCCACATGAAATCTGCTGGGTGGCCTTAGGCCAGTCACAGTTCTCTCAGAACTCTCTGAGCCCCACCTACCTCACAGGGTGTCTGTTTTGGGGAGAGGAAGGGAAGGAGATCGTAAGCCCCTCTGAGACTCCTTAGGGTAGTGAAAAGGTAAAGGTAAAGGTTCCCTTGCTCGAAAGCCAGTCGAATCTGACTCTAGGGTTGCAGTGCTCATCTCCGTTTCAAAGCCGAAGAGCCAGCGCTGTCCGAAGACGTTTCCATGTGGCCGGCATGACTAAACACCAAGGTGCACGGAACGCTGTTACCTTCCCACCGAAGTGGTACCTATTTATCTACTTGCAGTTTCTTGCTTTCGAACTGCTAGGTTGGCAGGAGCTGGAACTAGAGACGGGAGCTCACTCCGTCTTGCGGCACCCGGGTCTTGAACTGCTGAACTACTGACCTTCCACAGCCTGCAGTTCAGCGTCTTAACCACTTGAGCCACCGCAGCTCCTTTAGTGTAGTGAAAAGCAGGGTATAAAAAAGAACTTCTCCTCCTCCTTCTGCCACGTCCCTTTCTGGTGCACATAGTTCAGTCAGAGGAAGGTCTCTGTAGCTGTGCTACTTGAAAGCATTCTAGCTGCTGATACCAAGAACTGAATGTGGGACCTTCTACAGCTAAGCATGTGCTGAGCCGCAGCTGCTTTTTGTACACAAAAGTCTCTGACTCAGATCCTGTGTTTAAGCATAATTTTTCATGACTGTATGATTACAATGCTGGATGGATCTTCCTGGACCCTGCTAAGGTGTGCCCATTTCCTTCTTCCCCAGTGTTTTGGACACTGATCAGACCAGTGGTCCATCTAACCCAGTGCTGTCTTCTCTGGCTGGCACAGCAAGAGTTGTACTGTACTTCTAGGAGACTGCATTTGAATGCAAGCCAGGGAAAGACCTCTTTTGAACGCACTAAGCTCTCTTATACTGAATCAGAACATTGGTTCACCAAGGTCGTTACTGTCTACTCAGAACGGCAGTGACTCTCCAGCCTCTCAGGCAGAGGTCTTTCACATCACCTGGTCTTTTCAACTGGAGATGCCGGGGATTGAATTTGGGACCTTCTGCGAGCCAAGCAATTGGTCTATGACTGAGCCATCGCTTCTCTCCACGGCCTCTCTTTTCTTTCCTGTGTTTGTAGCCAGGGTTCTTAATGCACTCTAATCACAATGCTTAACCTGTTACTTTAGCTTTTATAAATGCACAGGAATGTTCTTCCTTTATTTATTTATGCTTGAGTGGAAGCTGCCCTGAGCTTGCTTTGCGGGGAGGGTGGGGGTATAAACGAGACAAATAAATAAATAATAAATAAATTTATTCCTCCCACACTTTCATCTTCTTTTGCATTAAAAGGACGTGTTTCTTGCAGCACCTCTGGGTAACAAAAAGAAATGATAGGAAACGAGACACGATTTATTCCAGAGAAGGGCCGATCAGTTAAACACGTGAATAGGACTGTCATCAACCTAGAGGGAAAAAGTCCTGCCCTCTTACTGGGATTTTTTTTTTTTAACCAGATGAGATTATTTACACATCCGTGCCGCAGGAGGCTTCAGATGCCCTTTCCCACACACTAAGCCCCTTTCAAAGGGAGTGGGACATTTTTGTCCAGGCCAGTTGGCAACCCGTATTGAACGAAATGGCATGCGCACACCAGTCCAATTCAGTGCCTCTTTTCCTTGCTCCGGAGGGAAATCCACTCCCAGATTTTCTAGCAACTGGTCTGTTTTGTCCATCACCACATGTCCTTTTTTGGAAGAATTTTGAAAAATACTTGTGATTCCCCCTTAGGGAGCAAAGGGCAAGACAGCTGGCACAGTCGTTGGTGCCCTCCTGCTGTGTGACCCGGAATGTGAGAGCGGAGCATTTGATGGGTCTAATCTGGCCTTTTTTTGGTTTATTCTATAGGAGGAGGCCACCAAGCAACCTCAGTAGCGGATTTTTCAGAACAATGGTTTATATCCTCCCCTTCCTTTGTTCCATGAAGCCCTTAACAATATAATAGTGCAAATCCAATGGCTCAATTCTTACATAGTTGCATAAATAGACAACAAGAGTAATAGCAAATATATTAATTGACTTTTTAAAATAGCAAATACACAGCCCATATCTTAAAAAGTCATTTGTAAAATGTTGGGTTGGATCCAGACTTAATTTCCTATGAAGACACTTCTGTTAACAGATAAAGGTAGGTTGGGTGGCTGATGGGAGGGAGAGAAGGAAGCAGGGAAAGGGGAGAGGCTGGGTTGTGGAGGGGAAAATGAGATCCCCCCCACGTCAAGTCCCCATGGATACCCCACTTATAATTATGCATTATTGTTTGTCAGTGTTTGGGGTGGTGCACAGGGCATACACTAGCCATGTGGCTCTTTTGATGGATTCGATTTGCAAATGTGGTTCTCCACAATCAGTAGACCACATTAATAGATAATTTAGTCTCAGTCTGCACCACTGATCCTTATGTCCCCTGATTATTATTTTTTTCTGCAAGGGTTGCTGCCATTGCTGCTGGAAACCTATTAAGATCACGGGCTAATAGTCAAGCTCATTTAAACATTGTTGGCTTCAGTTTTTTGGAAGAATGTATTAATAGAAGTCCGAATGTACTAAATACTACCGGTAGTAGCCTCCTTTACTCGTTCCCATAGCATTAGTACCCCCAAGTAATATGAATACAAATCTATTTCACATTGGTGTTGGAAAGTGCTGTCAAATCACAGCCGACTTATGGTGACCCTTCAAGGCATGAGATGTTGAGAGGTTCCTTGCCCTTGCCTTCTTTGGTGATCTCCCATCCAAATATGAACCAGAGCTGACCCTACTTAGCTTCCATCCATGCCAGGTCATTTAATACTACAGCATCTTGCAGACATTTTCCCAGCAAATACCAGCCAAACTGCATTATTCACCTTGCTGGAACTCACTTCTTGAAATGACCTCACCTGCCCCTCCCACTCCCACAAGGGATGAAATACAGAAAAAGCTGAAAGTGAAATCTGGATTAATGGGGTCTCATTAGAGCCCTGGGAAAACAGGAAGCCCTCTCATGATTCACCTTATTTGACTCCCAGGAACCTGATCTGCAATGGCTGTGGCTGCTGTTTTGATTTTAGTGTTTCTTGATTTCCACTTTCTCTCTCTATGAGTGAGTTCTCTAAAGTCTTTTTTTTTAATCACAGGACAGAACTAAAACCCTGCTTTACTGCACATCAGTGAAAAGACTGGCATCATGCCATTTAAGACTATGGGCAGGGAATGCCATGTTTGAACTATCCCTTGCATTTTTTAAAAAAAAGTGTCCCGCAAAACAGCAGATTGAGGACAAAGATTCGAACATAGTCATTTGCCTGGTCTTCTGTTTATAGGGGGTTTTGAACACAAAGAGGAGAAGAAGTTTGGTACAGTGGTTAGGAGTGTGGACTCTAATCTGGGAGAACTGGGTTTGATTCCCCACGCCTCCACATGCAGCTGCTGGTGTGACATTGGGTCAGTTACAAGCTCAGAGCTGTTCTCTCAAGAGCCGTCCTTGAAAGAGCTCTCTCAGCCCCACCTACCTGTAAGACACTCTGACACTCCTCTGGGTAATGAAGGGCGGGGTATAAATCCAATCTCTTCTTCTTCTCCAAATTAAAATCTGAAGCGATCCTGCCCATTCTATTAGCTCAGCCCACTGTTTTGTAGACCAGAGCTTGGCAGCTGGGAGTCTGAATGCTTTCAGTCAGGGGTCATTTGGGGGGGGGAACGCGGGGGGACGCCATCCCCCCGGGTGAGGTGTGGGAGGGCGGGGCCTGGAGCTCCCTGCTGGTGCCCGCTGGAGGTCGCCGCCGGCTGTGGGGAGGACACACTTCCGGTGATGTCAGGGGGGATGGCGTGTGCTAATGAGTTATGCTAATGAGTCCCCCTAGCTCTTTTTCTACGAAATGACCCCTGCTTTCAGTGAAGTGGTATTGTCCTTGGGTGAAAAACATTTCTGAGCGGGCCCTTTTTGCCCTTTTTAAAAGATTGTTTTGAAGTGAGTAGTACAACACCCAGAGACTTCAATGGGAACCAGGTTTCCTTCTTTTGAACAATGAGGTCAGAGCCGGGAACTGTGCTTGCGATTGCTGAAATAAATTACATATGTCCTCCAGCTTTCCTTTTGCAATATATTCCCTTTTGCTATTGGATTTAAAAGCTTTCATACAGACCAAACAACACGTGTAGGATATAGCAAGCTTTTATTTGTTGTTTGTTTAGCAGTTTAGCCTGTTTCTTCCACTTTTCAAACATACGCAAGTGGCTACTAACATCATGGTGGGTGACTATCAACAGTCATGGGTATGTCTTGAGATTTCTGACCTTCACAAAATTTGTCTGGAATACTTAATAGTCACACGGTATGGATACAAGTTGAGAGAAGGCCCAAACCTGCTCTGAGTCCCTGAGTCCCTAGTTTACATTTTTTTAAAAAAATAGAGATAGTGAAATCGTAACAATGCATTTGTATTTACTTATTTAATTCATTTGTACCCTCCCTTTCTCCCCAGTGGGGATCCAAAGCAGCTTACACCATTCTCTTTTCCATTTTACCCTGACAGCAAGCCTGCGAGGTACGTTAGGCTGAGAGAGTGTGACTGGCCCCAAGGTCACCCGGCGAGCATCTATGGCACGAGTGAGGATTCGAACCTGGTCTCTCCTATTCTAATCAGGCACTCTTAACCACTATATCACAGTGGCTCTCAATATTGCCTCAGCATTCAGAGTTCTTCTTCACTGTTTACTTTTAGGAGAATTACACAACAACTCTCAACAAATCAAATCGACCGATACGATGGAGTTGGGTTGCCAGGGAACCTATGGAGTGTATGTCGTATGCTGTAAGAATCCGGAGTTTGGTGATAAGCGAAGATGTACCATTGTCTGAATCTTGTAGTGACTGGACTCAGTCGAAGAAAGTGAAAGGTACGCAAAGCTTGCCAGTGTAAAGCAGGCAATACAGCCTTAGCCCTCTGTGATACACCAGAGCTGATGTTGCGTAATTCTTTTCTGTGGAAGGCATCTTCATTTCTTGGTATCAGCGTGTAGTTTTCCAGAGAACAAAATTAGCCTTTGGATAACACTTTCTTACTCTGAGTGCAGAACTGATTGGTGTAATTTTAGCTTGTGCTATACGGCTCTGTGATGGTCCCATTCAGTTCTGTTTTTCTCCTTAACTGTTAATCACAGTTTTTGGCCCTGCATTTAAAAACCTCACTTCAAAGCCAATCTTCAGTGCACTCGCGGCCTTGAGAAAGCCTTAGCCTCGGTTTTCCTACCCCTGACATTCTGTCATGGACAGCAGAAATTATTGTTGGTTTTGGTGAGGTAACACTTCAGGCTGACTTGTACTCCTGGGCAAAAAAACCCAGCAACAACCTGTCAATGGGTAAAGGAAGCCCTGACTTGGGTGGCTCAGGCTAGCCCAATCTTGTAAGATCTTGGAAGCTAAGCAGGGTTGGCCCTGGTCAGTTTTTGTACGGGAGGCCGCTAAGAGTGTCCAGGGTTTCTAGGCTGGGAGCTGCTTGGGGCTTAGAGAGGCTCCCAGACATGTTGCGGTAAGGGGGGGGGATGGGATTCCTCCCCATGTTTCATGCCCCCCCTCATGGCCTAGGTGCTGATTCTGCTCCCGCCGGGCCGCTTCGGGTTGGCTGAGGTGACAGGGAATGCTGGGAATCATGCTAAAGTTTCCATGGGAATCAGAAGCGGCAATGTCTGTAAATTCCTCCCCAACACAATGCTATTCCCAAGTGCAGCCCCTTAGTTTTTTTTCACATAAGAGGAACTGGCAGCAACTACCAGCTCGCTTAGTACTTGTCCAGCTCTGCATTCCCCTTACCAGAGTTCAGTAACCAAGATTTATGTCTATGTCTATGCTCCATTGTTTTGTACAGGTTTGGACACAGAAGATTCCAAGTCTTACATATCCCCAAGTGACCAGATCATTGAAGAAGGGTCAGACATCTCCTTTTGCTGCATTGGAAAAAAGGGAGAAAGGATATCATCTTTAAACTTCGGTAGCCAGAAATATTCAGGAGGGGCAAGCCACCGAAGAATGGTGTTCACTGTAAAAAACGTCCCCCTTTCAAGACCAGGTGGAGTTATAGTGAACTGCGAGGGCTCTGATCGTCTTTGGACGACAGTCTTTGTGACCCGTAAGTGGAACAGGCTGTGTGTTATTGCCAGGAGTGGTATGTGTGTGTGTGTTATGCCACTAAGAACTTATTTGAAGGGTACGGGCCAGATCATTCACTGTGCCATCCTTGCTTATGGCTGCCAACCTCCAGGTGGTGGCTGGAGATCTCCTGGGATCATAACTGATCTCCAGGCGATAGAGACGAGTTCACCTGGAGAAAATGGCCACTTTGGAAGTTATTTCCCACCTCTCTCCTCAGCACCTCCCCCTCCAATCTCCTGGTATTTCCCAACTCAGAGCGGGCAACCCTGTCACGGTGTCTTAATAAAAACATCTAGAAAGGTCTAGGCTTACCCTCTGATAGTACAGCAATGTCTCAGACAGTAAAGAGATAAATATGCTGACATTACCTTGACTGTGAGTGCAGCCTAGAATCGAGATCCCGCCCCCAAGGTAGCGTGTCATTTTTTAAAAATGTGCTGGATCACTTATGGAATTTGTGTGGTGACCCTTTTAACTTTCTGATGCTGAAACTTAAAACTACTCATAGGAAGGGTTGTATAGAGATTGTTCAGTGTATTGAATTCTTGCCTATCTTTATCAACAGCTAAATACACCAGTTCTCCTTCTCTTTGCTCGGCCAGGGAACCACGGTCCTGTTCTTCTTGCTTCCTGTCTCTTGTTAAATTTTTTTAAAAATCCATAGAGAGAGAGAGAGATCATTACTGTTACGCATATGTTGGCTGGGGAGGGGGTGACGGGATACTCACGGGGCAGCATTTGAACAGATGGTGGTCTGTCTTGCCCAGTGTCATTTATTTTGCATGGCAGTGGCTTTCCAAGGCTTCGTTCATATATATTTTGTAGCCCTGCAACCAGCGGTTCATTTAGCTACAGATGCCAGGGACTGAATCTGGGGTTTTATTTATTTATTTATTTATTTATTTATTTATTATTTTATTTATTTATTTCCTTCAGTTTATATACCGCTCACCCC